ATGTAAAGAGACTTAAACTATTAATACGAATAAAAATGACAAGATTGATTTTAAAGTTTTTTAAGAATCAAATTTGATTAATTTTGCGGGTCAAAAGATACATTTTAGAGATATTTAAATTCAAAGCATTCCACCAATTACCATTACATCTGATATTTAATTTGGATATGGATAGATAGAGGAACGAATGCTACTTTAATTTGTTTGCTAGACTTCAACATTGCATAAACTTACTCTATGAAATGACCAGAATGTCCGTTCAAGTCTTATTTCAGTAAATGACAATGAGACTAAAACGTAAACATCTATTTGGTAAAAACATTTTTTTATGCACACACTTTTATCTACACTCAAAGTATAAAACTAATTATTTCGACTCCAGAATTACGTAAATTTCATGTCCTGAATAAAAGTGGGTGGCATTACGTAATGAAAATGAAACATATCGAAGCTACCCAGTTTTATTCAGCACATCAAATTTGATTAACTCTGGGGTCAAAATTACGTATTTTTTTACTTTTGAGTGCAAATTAAGGTATGTGCATTGGAAAACTTGTTTATTTTTTTAACCAAATACATTTTTTTACTGTTCAACTTCAACGATGAATTCCCGCCCCAGTAAAGGGAACCGCGGCATCTGTGAGTGCCCCGCCAATCACAACGCCCCAATGCCCAGCCGCTGTCACCTCGAGGCAATTGACGGCTTCTCACGGATCGACGCCTTTGCTCGCAAAGTAAGCCAAAAAACACTCTCTTTTGTTTTTATCGTAAACAAAAGTTATGCGTGGCGGCTGACGGTGTCGATTTAGCGGTGAGTGAAAGAGGCTATTCGAAAGTCAACAGTTTCAAGCTCGTAATAATAATAGTTAAACGTTTAAAAGTACAATCCATCCATATATCCCAATGCGTCACCCTTTATGGAAAGCAGGAAAAAAAACAGAACCTGCAGGGTAATCGTCCAGAACTAGTGGCGATGAAGGGCAGTTTAAAGAGGCGAGTTTTCGAGACAGACTTAAATATATATATCTTACGACCCTGATAATTTTGATTTAAAGCTTTCGTGACTGCATGGATTTTCATTCTTGGTTCTTTCGGTAAAGTCACGTAGAAGGGAAACAATAAAATAATAAAAATATAAAACAACAAAATTCTCACGACGTTTCGACTGCAACACAAGCAATCATCATCAGGTGTCATCATCAGGTGTGATGATGCTTGCTTGTGTTGCAGTCGAAACGTCGTGAGAATTTAATTGTTTTATATTTTTATTATTTTATTGTTTCCCTTCTACGTGACTTTACCGAAAGAACCAATTTTAATATGAGACTGATAATCTTACGGGTAAAGGCAAAGCGTTCCAATGCTTGGGGGCTGCATGGGCAAAAAGGTCGATCACCACAGGAAATTAGCCTTGAATAGGTTGAGTACTACCATCCAGAAAGGGACAGAGCGATTCAATCAGATCAGGTGCTTGGTGGTGGCAACTGTGGTGGTGGTGGTGCTGTTGTTGATTAGTAGAGTCGTGAAAAGTTAATGGCGCAGCCATGAAATTTCTCGCTCTCACCACTGTTGGCAGAAGGATATGCGCTGGAGGGAGCGTCTAGAAAAGACCCTTTAAACGATTATCGTAACGATGTAATTAATATATTAAGGGCAACTTCACAGAGTCTCAGGACAACATATATTTTTAAGGAGGGTCTTGCCAAATCCCTATTAAGGATTATTTTGCTTGTTGGGAAAAAAAAAAAAACTAGAGTACACGGAGAAAAATTCACACACGAGGTTCACACTCAAAGGGCCGACCACACAAACGTTTTGACAAATTCGCGGTAGTGCCACCTGCTGGTCACTATTTTAGTAAGCAGGTTTGGATCGTCTCCGATTTAAACTATAAACTAAATTTATATTCTTGTATGTATCGTACGTCCGACGTTTCTCTCCACGCGCTTCTGCAGAAACTGAAATCAGTTGTCACATTAGTTTGGAGTCAAACATTTTTGTTAATGTATTTATCATTCAATTAAAATTCCCCAATTTGAGCTCCCCTGGTGAATAACCGACACAGCGAATGTTTGCGCTGTGAAATCTGTCCCTGCACCGTTTGGTTCTCTTGTTCACGCAATGATTATGACGTGTTCAGTGCTGCAGACCTTGTTCGAAACCAATTCTGATATTATTGGTCACCCCCGTGCCCTCGTTAATGTCAATAACCTAGATTATGCAAGGTATGCGTTCACACGAATCAAACAAATATGCGCATGGCGCACACACGAATGTGAGTTTCGGTTTAAAAACGTTAACGCTGTAGGCTTTAATCTCGCCCAGAGGCAAAGGCTTTTAGCTCAGTTTAACACGTAGGCTTTCGCGACCAATATCATCCACAGTAGAGTTTTTTTTTGGGTTAGATCGCGTAAACATTCGTTAACCCCGCCACCACCCGACACAGCCAACTAGTAAGGGTTGTCACGTAAACAGAACGTGGCCAATTCGTCACTAGTACAGCACCACCGGTTGTGTGTTGGAGAGCGAAGCCACAACGTTTACAATCTGAGTACGACGTTTCACCAGTAATTACAACTAGCTTCATCAGGTGACAGCCAGATTTGTGGAGAAGTCCATCTGTTTCGTTCCTAATGCCATGCGGAGTGCTTAATTACTGACCATTCTTGCTTAGTCGGCAATACAGTTTTGGGCTAAAGTGAATGTTGTGCTATGGTGCGAAGGCTCTGAGCTGACAATTGCGTTCAACGCACATATGTTGAATTAATTGAAATCAGGGACGGATTAAGGTTCTTGTAGGCCATAGGCACTTCTGTTTAGTTGAGCCTTCAGCGATAACTTTCTACTGGTAGTGCTGCCCGTGTTGCTGTCTCCGATCAACCATAGGACAACAACAACGCTTGTCTTCCCTTGCACTCACTCTCTATTGAGAATGAGAGTGTGCGAAAAACACCATTCGAAGATGCTGTTGTTAATTTTGCAATGAAACAAATCTCAACAAGTTCATCTCCCGTGTTAATTTCTCTCACTTGATGAGAGAGAAAAATCGATTAACATTCACATCACTCGGCCTCTTCGTATATACACTGTGCCTATCCTTGCAATAGAGAAATATATGCATTTATTAAAATGTTTTATCACACAAACAAACCAGAAAAAACCACGGTCAACATTTTTATTTCGTAGGTTCTAGGCACGTTAGTCGGCTTGCGAATTTCGTGCAGGGCGGCGTGTTCATCATTTCTCGTCTCGCACAAGAGTTGGCTTGAGGATTTGAACCCAAGTTGAGCTGAAGACTACATTTCAACTCCTGAAGATATTGCACTAGTGGCGTGGCGTAAACAAAGCTCGAGAAGAGAAATTCTCACGGCACGCAGCCCGGGCAGATTACAAGAGGCCTGTGGAAATGTAAATGTGAAATGTTCGCTATTTAAGCAACGATGACAAACTACGGATGTTTCACAGTAGTGGGAGATATGTATACCATTGCTGGTTTGTCTTGATTTGAAGCTTTCGTGACGGCAGGAATCCATACTCTTTGGTTCTTTCGGTAAAATCACGTAGTAGGTATAAAATACCTACGTGACTTTACAGGTAAAATTACGTAGGTATAAAATATCTACGTGACTTTACCGAAAGAACCAAAGAGTAATATGCAACAAGTTAAAGTTGTGTTCGTTTCACCAGTCTGAGAATAATAATATATACAGGCAACGATAATCGCATTTTCGTCGCTTTATCTTTGCACCGAACGTACTCTTCGCTCGTAGAGGGTAAATCTAATGAACCGGGGAGCTGTTTCTGGAAGGTAACAGGTTACGTATGCATGTTTAACTTCTTTCGCACCATACATTGGAGGTGCGGGGTGGGGAACAACACTGAAAATGTAAAGGCATAGCCCCGCAATTACTTCCTCATGCCACTCCTGCCAGGAAGGACCTTCACTCCGGAGGGTATTTCTGCCTACTCTTCCACGGTGGCCAAACCTTTTTGGACAAAGTTGAAGTGTCCACACTTTACCTCCACCATAAGCGACCAGCCGATCGACCAACTGTGGTTGTCGCCCGTGGATTCTGCTGCGTGGACAGAAGCGGGGGGGACATTTAATAAATCTGCTTCATTGTATCAGCTGCCACGCAAGGGCAGGGTATCGAACCGGTCGCTTCTGGATTGCGAGTGCAGTGTTCGAACCATTTCACCACTGTGGCACCACCCCTGGCGAGGCGTTTTTTAGATTTAATGAAGCCTGAAGTTGACGTTAAATGTTTTAAAAATTACAGTACTCGGGTATATGTCTGCACGCATATACGTGTTTATACACCACGTAAACATACGTGATTATGTAGTAAAATGGGTGTTTATTTTTGCATATTTAATGAAACAGAAAGCTTTTAAATATATTCAACTCGCCGTACATTCCTAATTAAAACACGGGTGACACTTATTAAATGTGCCGCGTGCATATTGGGCCAAGTCTAAAACTCCATGGCGACTATTATAAACCCATCCCGGTACCCTTTCACACAATCAGCAGAAGAAACTGCATTTTTTTTGCACCGTACGTATAGCCAACCGTGCTAATCGGAGGTGCGGAACCAGCCTGGTGTGGAACCAACCAGGTGCTAAACCAGCCTGGTATGGAACCAGCCAGGTACGTAACTAAGGCACGTGCAGAGTCAGCCAGGTACGGCGGCTCAGTGGAAGAGCGAGTGGCTCGCAATCGGAATAAGGCGAGTTCAACTCCTCGCCGGCGAGTTCAAATCTTAGCAATTGACTCAGCCCATCACCCCTGCCGGGGGTCTATAAAATGGGCACCACTTTGTGGGAGACTCAACAAATGGTGTTCCGATGCAGAAATTTGGCCCCCTGCCATAGACATGTGGAATTACCACCACTGGCCAAGATTTGTAAATAAGAGACGAGCACCATTTCAACCAACAGTTATTTGTGCAATCCGCTACTTTGACCTTTTGTCGACACACACACACACTCACACTTACCTGATGACTGCACCAGCTGTACTCCAGCATGATTTTGCTTAGTCTCCCGATGAAGTGGGGCTTCCCTGCTGAAGCGGTTATCCCAGCCAGGAGGGTCGAGTGCTCACTTTGCCTGCCCCGTGTGCTTTTGTGTGTCCCTCCATCGGCAGGCCACAATCCCCGCTTTGTCCACGCAACTTTTTTTTTCTAAAAAGAAAGAAAGAAAAAAAGCCCCAAACCCTCCAGCCCCAACCCTGTGGCCGGTGGGTAATGAACTTGAAGCTTTTCTTGCAGAGTCAATGAATCGAAAGAAGCCGGGTTAAAAGAGAGAGAGAGAGCAAAAAAGGAGTCAGAAAATAAATAATCAAATAAAAGCGACGGGGCTAATTACCGGCATTCTTGAACGCATTACGCATCCAGCACCCAGTCCTCCTTTCTCTGATCCTGTGTGTTATTCCTTAATTATTCCAGCGAGGTCGAGATGGGGGGCGGAGTGACTACGCAGCTAATCACTGGCACAGGAGAGACCCGATCTGGTGTCCGCTGCCACCACACAATGTCCCCTTTCGTCTGCATCGCCCCGGGGTCCCCCTTCCCTGGCTTGTGACCACGCCAGCATTTACCTTGCACTCAGATCTGGAGCTTTGCTGGACATCTGTGGCCACTCTGGTAAGCTATTGAACAAAAACAAAACAAAAACTTACCAGGTAAGACCCGCTGAGCGATGTAGCACTTTTTTTTCTTCCAAGAAGCGGCCTGGCCACAACTGATACCTCGACGAAGGGGCTTATCGCGTGGACATTTACAGCAGCCAAACACTGCGAATGCGTGTAGATTCTAAATGTGGAGGGGATAAAAAAAACAAGCGATTCAGAGGAAAGTCCACGCGAGCACGTTGAGAACATGCACACTCCAAACATACAATCGTCCGGATTGGGATCGAACCCACAACCTCATGTATTCCAGGCAAGGTAGTTAACATCTCACCACCATGGCGTCCATAGAAGGAATTAGGTTTCAAGCTGAACAGAAGGCACTTATCTTTGTTTTTTTTCAAATCTTTCAACACGATTTGTAGATTTTATTACCGGTGACCGCATCTACATGTCCCACTTTTAATAATATTGTTTCGGCACACTCGCATTGCACGTTTAGGTAAGGAACGAAACAGATGGACTCCTCCACAAATCTGGCTGTCGCCTGATGCAGCTGGTTGTAATTACTGGCGAAACGTCGTACTCAGTTTGTAAATGTTGTGGCTTGGCTCTCCAACACACCGGTGTGCTGTACTAGTGACGAATTGTCATGTTCTGTTTATGTGACAACCCTTACTAGTTGGCTGTGTCGGGTGGTGGCGGGTTTTATGACACGTTTACATATTTACGCGATCTAACCCCAAAAAAAACCTCTATTATGGAAGTTTCGTTTTGTTTGTATATGGCTCAAAGTTTATTACCATATCGTCACATTTCATGCCATTCTGTTTGACATCTGGGTAGCAATGTATAGGATTCTCCAGTAAAACGGATCACGTTTTGTAAATCGTTGATAGATTTTTTTGTGATGAAGAAGCCTTCATGTAGCGGTGAAATGAGAAGGGTTAACGTGCATATCAATGGCGGTCGTGAAGAATTTAAATCAAAGCAGGTCTTCTGTTATTTATCTGTTAGGCGTGGACTTTCATGAAATTAAACACTTATTGTAATGCACTACAAGTGACAGGTTTTTATAGTTTCCATAATACAGTTTTCTTTGGTTTCTATCGCGGGTTAGGTTACACGATCTAGTTAAACAAAAAACCTGTATTATGTATTATTTGACTCACATTAATTGCATTAATTTCGTTAATAATGTCACGTTCCTTTTTGAAAGAAAATCCCGATTTAAATCATTTGGGAGGAGAAATATACTACGACTCAAAATTATCCCCGGGCTTCCGAAGATGACAATGACCATAAAACTAAAACTATGCAATACGTTGGCGTTAGAAAGCGATGCACAGGGTGGCCCAAGAGTCAGGACACATCGGGGTATTTTATTTATTTGAATACTGCCAATAAACATTTTTTCCTGTGTTTTTTCTTTAAGTTAATATTTTATCTCTTGTCATTATTAACATCCAATTTTCTTCTTCCTTTTCAGATGGCGTTTAAAAATGGAAAGAAAATTGACTCAGGACAAACGAGTTCAATTAGCTTCATGCATGCTCAAGAAGACAGCTGCAATCTAAAAAAAAGTCCTAAATGAATTTGAAAAGAGAATGCATGCATTAACGTTCATGGAAGTCAGTTTGAACGTTTGTACAAAATAATTAAATAACCCTTTGTGATTTTTGATTTAAAGCTTTCGTGACTGCAGGGATTCATATTCTTGGTTCTTTCGGTAAAGTCACGTAGAAGGGAAACAATAAAATAATAAAAATATAAAACAAAATTCTCACGACGTTTCGACTGCAACACAAGCAATCATCATCAGGTGTCAAAACCACAACAAGCCCCTTTTTTCAATTTTTCTTGTTGTTTTTTTCACACCTGATGTTGATTGCTTGTGTTACAGTCGAAACGTCGTGAGAATTTTATTGTTTTATATTTTTATCATTTTGTTGTTTCCCTTCTACGTGACTTTACCGAAAGAACCAAGAATATGCACCTTTGTGATTTGTTCAAATAGATAATAACCCGATGTGTTCTGACTTTTGGGCCACGCTGTATAATAATAATAGCCCTATGTGTCCTGACGTCTGCTCTACCTTGTAAAATAATAACCCAATGTGTCCTAACCTTTAGGCCATCCTGTATTATAATAACAACTCTATGTGTCCTGACTTTTGGGCTTCCCTGTATGTAGTTAAATAACAATGGGGTTTTTTTATTTTTGCAACAGAAGGGGTGGGGTGGGGTGGGTGACTTTGTTTGAGATTGCCAGTATCGAAATTTGCACAGTTCAACCGAGCAAGAGCGAAACTTTCAATAAATTGTAGGTAATGAGGGCACGGAAATGAATGATCACAACGAGGTAGGATACGGCGCAGCAGCAGCTGCTGGCTCGGAGTGTGCCCACTGCATTTTCGTCCGGCTCCACTACGCACAGGAGGAGCGGGCCCCAGACACTAACCAGCTCTGACCACTCTGCTTGTGATCTTTCACGTGAAATAACACGACGCTCTTGCAGACCCAAGTCACGGCCCTGCCCCTTTCATCTAGAAAACCCTACGGGAGAGAGAAAACCCGACCTCCAGCTTGCTCAAGTAAATTGCTCATTACTTTGTTTGCCTGGGAAGTCGCTTAATACAGCCAACTGTGCGAATCTGCGCTGATGTTAGCGGTTGGCTTCGCTCGCGCATTTGCGCTTTGACATCGCGACGCCGCTTTAACTTAATTCGTGCTGTTGTGCTGCGGTAAAGTTGGCAGTAAGCAATGCTCAGGCAAATGGCCATTTTGTCGCGAAATTTTCAGCTTCAAATGTGGCCATTCGTGATACAAATTATTACGTTTTGTATGTGTATATACATATGTATATAGGATGTGCCTATGAAGTGGATTGTGAACCTATCACGTTTCGATTGCAACACAAGCAATCATCAGGTGTGAAAACCACAGCAAGACATTTTTTTTTTGCTGATGACGATTGCTTGTGTTGCAATCGAAACGTCGTGATAATTTTATTGTTTAATTTTTTATTCTTTCATTATTTCCCTTCTACGTGACTTTACCGAAAGAACCAAGAACATCAATGTATTGCAGTTAAATACTTTAAACGCATGTTGTTGATTCTCAAATGTGGAGGGACAAAACAAAAGCGTAACGAGCCGGATAAAAATCCACGCGACCACGGAGGAGAACACGCAAATTTCAGATACACAGGCAAGCCATATTCATTGAACCATGAGTTTTAATAATACAGCTTTATTAGATTTGAGAAGTGCTGGGAGGCATTCTAATGTAAAAAAAACACTTATTATTAAGACACCCGTAACGAGTTACAGTGTCATAATACCTGAATTGGTCATTTTCCAATGGTCAGATTTGCAAAGCACTCTAAGCTTCATACAGTATGTTAATCATTTAAGAAGGGATTTACAGCGCAATAACAATTGACAGCATATCAAACTTAACATTTTAGAAATAACTTTGTTTCAGAGAACTTCAATTAAAATAACTTCCATGACGTAAGTAATCACAGTAAGCATGAAATACTTAAGCCTAAAAAAAATTACACAGTTTTCTAAATGGGACATTTAAATCTGAGTGTATTTAAGTATGCAAAAACACTGCATTGATTTATTTTAATGTCTTGCTCAATGGATCATTGGGACAATGATCGTCTACTTAAGCCAGTGGTGCAAATTCCACATTCTTATAGCGCGCGGGGGAGGGGGGAGTTTATTTGCAAAACTACTACTGTTAAATTCCCCAAAGTGCTGCAAATTTCATCGACCTTGGAGAGGTCATTTGAAACAAAAACGTGGCTTTGAACTCGCGACCTTCTGATTTGCAAGACGTTCGCTCTACCGTGAAGCCACCTTGCCAGTAATGTGACAGTTCTTTTAGTTTTCTAAACGAAACATACAATAAACTTCTACTCGGTTTTTTTTTCATTTGCGTGTGACATGCAGCGATATGCACAAGCTGTTGTGAAAAGTAATACAAGCGAGCGCCTATCAAGGATGACACAGCAAACACAGCCATATGTTCACTCGCTACTGATGTGGCCTTACTGTGACCAAAGAGCCTTGTCTTCACATTGCTGATGTGTACACATCACATCAGGTACAAGGGAAAAATCAGACTAGGTCAAATTCTCACATGGCTGACATGACTCCTTATCCCCGTATAGATTTACACACACACACTTGAATACAATTACCATTCACAACATTTGAAAACCATTCAATTAATAACTTCCGAGTGAGTAATTAGTCAATGGAGTTCATACGTGTCAATGAGTTGTTATTGAACGAAAATAATGATACAATTCACGTTTTATCATTTAATTTCCCTTGAACTGGTATTCTTCGATGATACGCTGGCATTTATGAAATAGTAAACCGTATGATGAGTAAGCGTAACGGGAAAAAGGTGCAGCCCTGCAATTTCTTACTCACGCCACTGCTGGCAAAAGAGCCTCCTTCTGGAGGTAGCTCTGGAGGGCAATTGGCCTACTCTTCCTCGTTGCCCAGATGTGCTGGATTCAAGAAAGCCTCGCCCATTGTTTCAACTGCCACACCAGGAGAAGAAGTATAAAGGAATTGTTTTTTTTAAATAAACAAGCCAACGGTGTCAGGCACGTACACCCAGAGAAAGTCTACACTCAAAGACGAATCAGTGACCAGCATAATTCGCGAAGCGTGTTATCACTGAAAACCTACTCGTAAAACTTCTGTACAAATTACATCCGGGCAGTGGCACAACTAGCGACGTAACGTGCACTAAACTGTTGATTGCCACCATCGGCGCCACGGTGGCGAGATGTTAACTACCTCGCCGGGTATACAGGAGGCCTCCGGTTTTCCCCTCCACATTTAGAAACACGTGCTTGGCGTATTTGGCTGCGATGCATTTCCACGTGAGAAGCCACTTTGTTGAGCTATTTGTTTGTGGCCAGGTCGCTTCTGAAAAAAAGCGCTATATAGCTCAGCGGGCCTTACCTGGGAAAATGGCAATAGTTAATAGCAATAG